CATGGGACAGGGACCTTTCTGAGCCCCCGGCCACCTTGGAGGCCGGCGCTGGGCTCCCTGCCCTGAGGGCTGACCCCATCCCCGGGGCTGATCCTGCACCCGGGGGGCGATGCTGTGCCAGGCGCTTGGTCTCTGCTCCCCGTTTGACCTCGCTGGCCCCCGCCCCGAGAGGAGACCGTCCTGCTTGGGGGTGCTCCGGAAGAAGAGGTTTAATTAAACCACCCGGTTAAAGCATCAGATGCAGAAAATGCAGCAAACACTGGGATGGGGACAAAGCCCCCTGCGATGGGGATGGGGACAAAGCCCCCTACAAGCGGGTGCAGGGGACAAGCCGGGGGCTACGCCCCTGCCAGGCTACAACACGGGGGGCTCCGGCTCTCTGCAAATTCAGGCGTCCCTGGGTTTGTGTAACGCTCAGCGTCGGCCGGCGTTTCTTTGCTGCTGCAGTCGCCTCGGAGCCGGGTCCCCGTGCGGAGGGGGACACGCGCTGCGTCCCCCGGGATCATCCCTCCCTCGCCTCCGGGGCCACACCAGGGGATCTTACTGCATTTTTTTTCCTTCCCCAGGAAATGGCTACATCGAAGGCAAAGAGCTGGAAAACTTCTTCCAGGAGCTGGAAAGCGCAAGGAAGGGGGCGGGTGTGGTAAGGGCCTCTCCTGGATTTGCTCCCTCCTTTCCCTCCTGTCCAAGGGTTCAGGCTCACATCAGCCCCCTCGCCTTTGGGAATGGCACTGGGGAGCGGGACCGGGCACCTCCGGGAGGGAAGGGAGGAACACCAGCACGGTGAGGGGTTAAACACTCCCGTCCCCTCTCCTTGGGGCAGGACGCCAAGAACGACAACTTGGGCGACAAGATGAAAGAGTTCATGCACAAGTACGACAAAAACGCGGACGGCAAGATTGAGATGGCGGAGGTGAGCGGTGCTGGCACTGCGGATCCCCGGGATGCTCGGGGTCCTTCCCCCGGGATGCTCGGGATCCTCCCCAGGATCTCGCGGTCCTCCCTGATGCTCCTGTTCCCGGCAGCTGGCCCAGATCCTGCCCACGGAGGAGAATTTCCTGCTGTGTTTCCGCCAGCACGTGGGCTCCAGCTCGGAGTTCATGGAGGTGAGCGGGGTGGGCTGCGCCAGGGCTCCCTGCGGGATTCGGTCCCCGGTGCCCGGCTCCACCACGGAGAAACGGTCGGGAGCTGGCATTGCCCAAACTCCCCTGGTCTCCCCCAAACTCTTGGCTTTAACTCAGCATCAGGAGGCGGGATGGGGGCATCCCAGTTTGGATGGTGCTGGTTTTGGGGGAAAAGCAGGAGTGTGATGAGTTTTCCCAGTCCTCGGCGCTCCTCGGGCACCTCTCAGGGCAGCCGGGCACCTCGTCCCGGTCTCCAGACGAGGTGAGCTGTGGGATCTGGAGCTGTTTCTGTAAATCCCCCCCCCGGGGCGGTCAGTCCTCAGTGCCCGAGGGATGTGCTGAAGCGGACAACGCTGCTGGACGTGGCTCTGCGCCACCCCAAAACCTCGCCGGGCCCGGGGTGAATCCCATCTGCAGGGCGGGAGAGGAATTGCCGATGGGGACCGAAACACGGCTGGGGGTGGAGGGGGATGTGCAGCATCCCC